TGATTTTTGTTTTTAATTTTTAATAATTTAGAGGGAAAAATCGTTTATTTTTCATCACTTGAATCGATTTCGAATAACATAGGCTTGTAATCCGAGCAAAAAAAAAAAAAAACATAGATTACAAGAATGATAATTTTTAAAAAGTCAAACGGACTTTTTATTTCAGTGCAAGCGGAATATTTTCGAGATATTAATGAACAAGACGTATTTTTATTTATCGACAATGTCTTCCATTTCGTCCGAGCAGGATTCTAAGTATCTGTCTTATTGAATAGAATAACTTCTGCTGTAACTTATCAACCCACTCTTAATAATACCCAAATGGATTCTTTATAGGAAAGAATTACTTCTACTAAAAAAATGTCAATAACTTCTATTCAAGCAGTTTATGTACCTGTGAATGATTTGACCGACCCTGTTTTTGCTATAATATTTGCACATTTAGATGCTACTACCGTACTATCAATATAGATCCTTTAGATTCAACGTCAACTATGCTCCAACCTCGGATCGTTAGTGAGGAGCATTTATGAAACCGCGCAAAGAGTTAAGCAAACTTTACAACGCTCTACTTTTTTTATATTTATTCATATTTTAATTAATTATTTAAAAATATATATTTATTAAATAAAAATAAGTTATATATTTTGATAAAAATATAGATTTTTCATTCATAGAATTATATTATAACGATAAATATAATATTTAAATTTCAAATTTTAATAATATATATTTATTATTAAATTAAATAAAAGTCAAATATCTAATATTCACTTTAGTAGCAGTATAAAACTACCACTTTAATTTCAATTTCAAAAATTGAGAGGAGGATTAGAAATACATCACCTTTAATATATTCCACTGGAATCAACTGTCACAGTCTGGGGGAAAGTCTCATGCAAATTCTTTTTAATTATTTTTTAAATTTTAATTACAAGTTAAAGAGAAAGTTCCTGTCCCTTCTAGATTTATCAGTGAATGTAAATATTCCATGCAAATATATATATATATATATATATATAGATACATACATATATACATGTTTCTTCCTATTTTTTTAAAAAGTACCCTGTGTAATATGACATAGAGGGTACTTTTTATTGTAATATATATATATATATATAATTTTTTTAAAAAAAATTAACTATACATATATGTCGTGATTATATAAAAAAGTCAAAAAGATTTTAAAAAAAATTATATTAATAATTTATAATATTTTATTCAATAAAATTAAAGATTTATTTCATTAATATATTAATAAAATTATAATGATCATATTAAATTATATAAATATATGTATAATATATAGTATATTATTTAGGAAAGGATTGCAAAACATATATGTATATGATATATTGTATAGTATTGAAGTTGTGTCTAAGTTACTCTAAAATTCATAATATACACTCGTGTACGTAAGCATGTAGATTAGGTGAAAAGCTATGATATATACTCTCCAAACAAGAATAATGACGATGGATTAAGCTCACGTAAACCATGTATATATCATTATTTTATATGTATATATGTATACACACATCAAAATACTCGAGTAAAATACGTATATGATGTATGATATATTATAATGAGATTAGAATATAATTAAACGAAACAAAATGTTAAGATCTTAAGTTTAATTCTAAGTAATTACGATGATGAAAGTAATAAAAATGAAAAGAGAGAGACATTTACCAAAAGCAAGATCAACTAGTTCATTATTTCTTCTTTTGGAAATGAAATGATGTTAAATTAGGGTTTGATGAGTACAAGCCTCATTTTGCTGACTTACATGTACGTACATGTATATATATATGTATATGTATGTATATGTGTATGCACACACACAATTTGCTCTTTGGACGCGAATTGAATTGTTCGTCAATCATTTGCACATGGGAATGACCCAAAGCCACAAATCTTTAAGATGATATAATCCAAATCTCACGTAATTTTCTTCTATAGATTGTATAGTTTTTCGAACACGAATATATAATTATACTAAATGAAATCGAACATTTCAATATTATCTTACGACGTAAGTTGACGCCAATAATTGAATATCGATCGTAAGAAGGAATAACCACATGTCGGGATTTTTGATAATTGAAATATTTGATATATAAAGTAAAAATATTTGTTCGATTGATAACGAGATATATAAATTAAAGAAATAACTTTCAAACGAGAATACGAGAGAACTGTACAACTTAAAATTCAATATATCTTGTATACGATATATCGAACATCCAATTATTTTTTACGAGGAGGCCTAGGGTTTTAGTCATCACCATACTTGTATAACCCATGTTCTCTATCATCAGTTGCAGATTTGCAGAATCAGATAATCATCAGTGGGAGATTGCAGAATCACAACTGCATAGGATTTGGTTCTGGGCTTTTATTTATTTTTTATTATATAGTGATTCATGGAAAATATTTTGAAGCCCAATTTGGAAAATTGATTTTGAGGCATACACATTTTATATAGAGGGCCCAATTGAAAACGCCCATAAAATCAACCAATATATATATATATATATATATATATATATATCCTACGATTTTCGTATACATGTATAATCACATCAGATTTGACCAAGACTATTTTTTCTAAAGATATATATATATATATATATATGATTTATATATTCTAGAAGAAAAGAATAATTAAGACTACTTTTTTTTGGAATAAATCAAGAGCATTATATAGAAAATTGGTTTGGAAATCTGAGGGATATAAATTTTGAAATATTAAATTATTATTATTATTTTTTTATAGATTTCATCACAAAACTCTTCTGAAATTGATCTCACTAAATAAGTAAAACTCGATATTTTACGGGTATATAATTAATTGACAGTTGTCTGCCGATAATATTTGATTATGTATAATTAATCAAGTAGTGTTAAATCTCAACGAATTTATTACGTTAAATTAAAAACTCGATTCAATTCTTTTCGTGTAAAAAAAAAAAATTTACTTTTGGTTAAAATTGGGTTTATGTGTTTTATTTTTTTTTTCTTTTACGTTGTATCATTATTAATCATATTTTTATTAATATTCATATATTATTTTTTATTTTTTTAAAAAAAGTGAGTTAAGTTTTTACATCTCTTTTTATCTAATGATTAAACACAATATAAGTAATAAATTAAGTACAAAAAGTTTAATTACATTATAATTATAATTAATATAAAATAATAAAATTATTTGAGAGTTATTTATCGTATATTTAATTTATTGTATAGTAAATAGGTATCAATAATAATATAATATTTTAATACTTTCTTACTCGAACAATTTTATAGATCAATGTAGTAAATTCAAAATTACTCGAAAAAATTTAAAAACAAACAAAACTTAGAATCATACTCAAATTTATGAAAGAAAGTCTGCCTGTTAAAAAGAGGGATTTGTAACGACCTCATAAATTTTTTTTAAAAAAATATATATAATAATTTGAATACGGAAGCGAAATAAAAGATTAAGACTAATATCCCTTACACAATAATAATATAAATTCTTTGTATATTTAATTTATCGTATAGTAAATAAGTATCAATAATAATATAATATTTTAATACTTTCTTACTCGAACAATTTTATAGATCAATGTAGTAAATTCAAAATTACTTGAAAAAATTTAAAAACAAACAAAACTTAGAATCATACTCAGATTTACGAAAAAAAAAGTCTGCCTGGGAATTCAATTGGCATCTCATACTAAGAATAATTTTGGATCTGTTGCTGTGAATTGATGCCAGAACCATGTTAAATTATTAAGCCATTGATGCCCACAACACAAGATTCTTGTCAACAGAACACTAACCCTTTCCCTACTTATCATTTTATCTTCCCCCCCACAGGCCCTCCATAATGTCTGAGACTTGAGATAAAACCTCTGTTTGTTCTTCTTCAAATTTTCCCTTCATTTTTTTTCTGATCACCCAAATTTTTTTTTTGAATTTAAAATAATGGGATTCTGTTCTTTTCCAAAGGGTTTTTTTTTTTTTTTTGTTCAAAAGAGAAATTCAGGCTTTGGTTATGTCAGTACAAGTTCAAATCGATATTCTTTCCGATCCGTTTTAGGAATAATGAAAATGGTTTCCTTTGTTTTTTTTTTTGTTTCTTCATTATTCATAGCTTATAATTGAAGCCTTCATGGAATATATATAAAGAGGGAATTTTATGCCATACATTTTGAATTCAACCTTCCCATTGTTCATCATCCATCTTATTCTGCATCTCCTTTTCTTTTCTTGATTCAATCTTTTTTTTTTTTGCGCGTGGTTTCTGCGGATCGTTGATCTTTAAATATTTGATCGTAGTATGAAACACGATACGCTCTCTTCATTCCATCCAAGAAAAGTGAACAATTCATTTTTTTTATTGTTTTCTGAAATTTTCTTGGCTCATTATACTATATTCTAAATGAACACTCAGAAAATTACGTGCCAGGAGAGAATTCGATTGACTCAGGGACTGATTTCTGATTGTAAAGTTGATTTTGTTAATCATTCGTCTCAATTTTCTGGTACCCAGCAACGATCAGACATGGGAATTCAAATTCAGGCACCCGCCATCGAAGGAGGAATTTCGCAACTTCACTACCAGTTTAGATCACCAAACAACATTTTGAGTCCTTTTGAGTCACCAACTTATGATTTTTATGCCACCGAGGGATGTATGGGATTTCCCCTGTATAAGTCTGAGACGACTGCTGTTTCCATGGATTCAATTGAGCAATTTAACACCAGTTCTGAACTGACAAACACTCTGCAATCCCTCGTGAAATCCCAGTACTGTGGAAGAAAATTTAGCAGATCCCCTTCTCTGGATCAAAATAGGTTTCTTGTTGACGAAGCAACAGATTTTGGGAGAAATAAGTCACGTGTTGCTCTTAAAGGAAACCAGGATCATAGAGTATGTAATCTTTTTTAAAATTTTCATTTGTTGATTCTTATTGGAGAATTTTGGTGTGACAAAAAATAATTCTGCTCCAATTTTCTAATGCAGATTTTCTGCAATTCCAATTATAATTCTCCACTTGTTCGTCAGAGCTTCTACGCGAAGCAAGAGAAGCAGCAGTCTCTGAGGCTTTCTCCTGTAAAATCTGTCAAGAATGGGTCTGAACTTGTAAGTAAAACAAGAATAAGATGGACCCAAGATCTTCACGAGAAGTTTGTCGAGTGTGTCAATCGCCTTGGAGGCACCGAGAGTATGTATTATACGTTACACGATAAATTACACTTCAATATTTTTTCAGTAAATTTACTTTTTTTATAAAAAAAAAAAATTTGAATGGTGAAATTGATAGAGGCAACACCGAAGGAAATTCTGAAGTTAATGGACTCAAATGGATTGACAATTTTCCATGTCAAAAGTCATTTGCAGGTCAGAATCTTGTGCTGATTTTCTATTTTCTCTTTCTGAAATTTTTTCTTATCTCAGAAAATGATTAATTTTGTCTTTGTTTCGCAGAAATATCGAATTGCAAAGTACATGTCGGATTCCGCAGAAGGTAAAGTGTTCGTCGCTCAAATCCTAAATTATTTTGTTTAAGTCTGTCGGCCGAAAGAGATTTAATTGGATTCGTTTATCGGAAGACTGATGTGAATTTAATTGGATTCCCAATTGCAGGAAAATCTGAGAAAAGAAGCAGCACAAATTATATACCTTATCAGCTTGATACAAAAACGTATGTTTCGTACAATAATTTGTAAAAAAATAAGTGAGATTTTTAATCAATTCGAACTAATTCAACTAAGAAAATCTAATACAACAATGCGACCTCGTGTGTGTATTTCAATATCAAAATTCGATAAAAAATCATTAATTTCTTGTACTGTCGAGAAAACAAAAAAATAAAATAAAATAACAAGCGAACTCGCTGTTTGCCAGAGGAATGCAAATCAAAGAAGCATTAGAACTTCAATTAGACATTCAAAGGCGTCTTCACGAACAACTTGAGGTAAATTCATCGACTTCTTTTCACATTTAATCTACCTTAATTTTATAAGATTAAAATATTCATAAACTGGGTATTTTTTTAAAAAAAAATTCTTGTAAAACATATCATTTTTACCGAACTCGGAAAATTTTTTAATCGTCGTTTATTTTTTGTTGGGTTCGGTTAATTTACTACGCGGAACAAAAACAAACAAACGGATCAGATTCAGAGAAATTTACAAATGAGAATCGAAGAGCAAGGGAGGCAGCTGAAAATCATGTTTGACCAGCAGCAGAAAACAAAAGAAAATCTAAATGAAGGCTCAAATTTCAGACTCCATGATTAATCCACCTCCAATCGACCTTGAAGATTTTGAGGTTTCAATTGCATTCTCCTTGGAAGTTGATTGCATTCATCAAAATCATGAACACATACATTTGTATACAACATGCTTTTTATGTGTAGTTTTTGAGCTTTGATGCCCTTTAGAAATGTGTATAAGGTTATATTATACCACATTAATTTGGTATATATTTAATAAAATATTTAATTAATAACAATTATATTATAATATAAATAATTTTAAATAATGAGATATATAAAAATATAGTTTTTAACTTGAATTTATAACTTTTTATAAAAAAAATAACGTAATAACTATTAAACTATTTAATAATTGATTAAATTAATACCCATTTTATACGTGAAGCCGGTATGTTTTGTATTATAATATGTTTTTTTATTTTTAAATTCGATAAATTATAAGTGTGAATTATTTAATTAAGCGTGCTATATTTATATTTTAATAAATTTTGTCGTTAAATAATATTTTAATTTTAAATTTAAATATTTTTTATTTTTTAGTAATTGAAGAATTGGGGATATAAGGGAAGTGATTTAGTATTATAATTAATTTATATGTATTAAATATCTAAAGTACTATATAAGTAGTTAAAAAACCAAAATAGACTAATAATAACTAAGAAAAGGATTTGAGGACAACGTTATCCGGGCTAATTTTCTCATCGAAACCTGTAACCAAACACCCCTTAGGAAATTCGAAGCGGGAGGTATCCTGTCCGCAGTTTATCGCTCTCTCTCCCTACGGTTACGAATTTCTGTCTGCGCGAGGGAGGAGGATAAGAGAGAGCGCGCTCTGCAACACCAAAAGGAGAACAAAGAAGAAAAATGGAGGATATGAAGAAGAGGAAGATGGAGGAGATGGGAGATGCTCAAACTTCGACGCAGGAACAATTACGTACTTTGCTCGATCCTCTCGCTAAACCTCAGCTCGTTGATCTCCTCTCCAGACTGTATGTTATCTTATCATCTATTTTCCTCAGATTAAAAGTTTCTTTTTAGAAAAACAAAGTAGAAGCCAAGTGAAATTTTGGGCATTTACTGTTAAATTGTGTCATAGTTAGGGCATATCGTCGTCTCTCTTTCATTTTGCGTGAATTCTGGAAAGGAAAGAGCATTTCGGGCTTCTTTGATTCCTCGTGGTATATATACAACTTAAAATTTGAGAAACCATTAGTGCTGAACGAGATGAACCTGTAAGGCCATCTCCTTCACCACTCAATTGAAGACCCCATAAACACCCATTCTCCGGCGGAGATGGCCGCAAGAAGAAAAATATTTGGATTCTGTTATGGTAAGTACAGCGGAGGTGACTTCTCTAGCAACAAGAACAACGGACTCTTGGGTGAGTCCACTGATGATTCAGTGGTTAGAACCTATTTCTAATAGTTTAGTGCAAGCATGATATTGATATGACTTCAGTAATATAAGTTAGCTTTTTCTCCTTAGAGGGTGTTTGACTTACCAATTGAGCCTAAATTACGCTCTTCTCCCTTCAAGTTCTTGACCCCCAGCCATTATTGTTTTGGTTTAATGGTCAGCCTTAGCTTTGAAGAGGATTTAGGGAACCTTATTGATATTTTGGTTTCTTCTCTGAATTTGTAAAGCTTCTTTTGTATTTGGGTAGCACCAGCTTAGTGCCTTGTTAATAAAATTTCTTTTTTCTTTTCAATAAGAATTCTCAATCTTAGCACCTTATTTCTTCTGTTTATCTATTCATTTATCCCCTTCCCTATATTTCATTCCTTTTCTCTATATTGTATGATGGATTTTGATTCGACGGTTATTTGTGTACAACCTTCTGTATTCGAGCCCAAATCATATTTCATTTTAGTTTCTAGTCTAAACTTGTGAAGCTTCTTTTTGTATTTGGGTGGCACCACTTTGGTGCCTTGTTAATAATACTTCTTTTTTTCCTTTCAAAAAGAATTCTCAATCCTAGCCTCTTATTTTCTTCTGTTTATCTATTCTTCTATCCCCTTCCCCATATTTTGTTCCATTTCTCGACACTGTATGATGAATTTTGACTCGACGAGTATTTGTGTATAACTTTTGGTGTTCTGGCCAAAATCCTATTACATTTTGGTTTCTAGTCTAAACTTTTAAAGCTTCTTTTTGTATTTGGGTGGCACTCCCTTGGTGCCTTGTTAATAGTACTTTTTTTCCTCTCAAAAAAGAATTCTTAGCCACAGCCCCTTATTTCTTTTGTTTATCTATCCTTCTATCCCTTTTTCCATATTTTGTTTCATTTCTCTATGTTGTATTATGAACTTTGGTTTGATCTGTCATACATTATTTGGTATTGGAGGCAAAATTCCTATTCCCACATTGTTGCAGACCTCTCTAAGCTTTTGAAAAGAAAATAGAAGAATAAACTCAGATCGCTTGAAAGTCAGTCCTAAAATTAGTTTCCTTATGCATCATTTTTGAAAATAACCTCTTGAAACTTCTCCACTACATGGTAGGAATTTTTTGAACATGATCAGTAGGAATATGATCCCTTTGGGCTCCTCTTTCCCATAATTGCTCCATTTGTCTACATTGTATGATGAACTTTCATACATCATTTGGTATTGGAGCCAAAATCCTATTCCCACGTTGTTGCAAAGTTCTCTAAGCTTTTGCAAATAGAATAGAAGAATAAAATCAGTTGGAATATGATTCCTTTTGACTTCCCACAAGCAACCTATTTGGTAGAGTTCCAAGTAGAAGTTCTGGGCATTTGCCCCAATTTGCTAGGTGTATTGACGAGATAGCCATTACTGAAAGGGTACCTTCTTGTGACCATACATTGGATCCCACTACTTTCTTGGAGTGGTTAGATGCTCTCGAGGATTATTTGGATGAATTTTTTAGCTCCACTAAAATGAAGTTGGTAGTTTCTTCTAGGAAGTATTGGCAATCTATCGAATGAAATGTAACCCGGTTAAGGATCCTTCTATTAGTAGTTGGGGCTATAAAGAAAAGTTGAAAGAAAGAACTACCCACTATCCCATTTGCCTGTTTGAGAATTTATTCAAGTTTTAAAAATTTATTGATAGTGTAGCTGTCTACATGCTTGGCTTGAGGAGCTCTTGCTTAGGCATAAACTTGAAAAATTAAAGAAGTTTCTTAGGACTCTCATGAGTCTCTAGAAGAAGCCTGTGAAAGGGCACTCGAAATAGAGAAATATTTCAAATTTCCTAATATTCGACGAGTAAAGAGTTGTTGCATTTATTTGGATATTGTCACCAAGCTTTCTCTGTCTGCAGAAAGCCATAGCTTGATCGCTTCATATGTTGATTGAGAAGATTGCGAGTTGAAATTTGTACGAAAAAAGGATATTAACCCTGTTGGTTGTATAGAACTGGATTGCCTGAATCCATGTCGACTCAAGTAATTTTGAGTTGTGTTATATTCGTATAACTAAACATGGATAGCTTTTTCTGATTTATAAATTTTGCGAATATTCACCATTTTTAGGGGCATTTAAAGTCTCATTTTGAAGGTGCTTTGGTAGCCTTTACTTGGCTAGAAAATGACTACTGCTGGGAATAAACATATGCACTTGTAGATGAGGATTCTCATATATCTAGAAAATTTTGTGGTCATTTCTATTGAAAATTCTCGTGTACACTTGAGGTTTTCTAAAATATCCTTTTGATCTATAATTGCTTTAAACACAATAAAGGCTTGGAAAGTTATAAACAATTTGCCAAATTTAAAACCAAATAAATAACAAATATGAAGCTTTAATATAAGTGACAATAGCTGACTTCAAAAATTACAATTTTTTGAAATGACCACTAAAAAATGAAGGTTTTAAGCATTGCATTTTTAGAAGATTCCTTTTGGCCTTTTTTTTTTTTTGAAAATGAACCTTAAAAAGGAAAGAAATATTTTTTATTCTTTTCTGCAATTATTTACCTTAGATAATGTGTTTTGTGATGAAAGGGTATTTCAGATAGAAGAACTAAAAGAAGGTGAGAGTGGAAATTTCTATATATATGGTTTTTTATAATCCTCTGTATATGGGAACATGCCATTAATTGGACATCTATGATTTCTGAGTATCTTGGACCAATTAGTGAAGGTAACACTAGCTTGTGTTGCCAAAGACATGAGATCTTCAGGAGTCCTATGTCTTGCAGTTTTGTCCCTTGATATAAATAGCCCCTGCTGAATTTTGTGTTGTTATCACTCATCAGTCATCAATGCCTTGCCTGCAATTTGAAACAACTCTCTTTTTCTTTGGCCAAGCTATACAGTGGGGAGGCATTGTCTGTCCATCTTGATGGTTGAGTCATGTGCTTATAGATGTTCCTTAAGGTTACATCACCTTATTGGGATTTAAGGTAATAAGGTCATGCAAGAGCTGCAATTCTCCTCCCAGTAAAGTACGTACGAATGACTAAAGCGGGATTCTTCTTATGCAGATGTCAGAATGCAAAGTTGGTTTAGTTGCATGTTAGATATAAATGGAAGGGACAAGTGTGGCAACTTTGGGCTTGGAACAAATCAGCTAGAATGGCTTTCTCTAAATTATGTCATCATAGTCATGTGGCTTTAGTACCAATTAATAGTTATGCATGAGAATTTCAAATGTTAGAAGCTTTTAACAACACTTAAAGTTTTCACATTGCTTAAAGATATCGAGCAAAAGTATAACTGCAAAGGAGATATGAGCATCCATGTGCATAATTGTTCATACAATATTCATTCAAACAAACCTCAAGAAAAGTTTTCACTTCGGAATTCATGCTTAACTTCTAGACCTGACTAATGACATATTTTCTTAATTCTTAGTAATCCTTTTCCTATTGTGTATATAAGTCCATCTTCTCTGTTGTTCATGTGGTTCATATTGCATGTGAGAATGTGGTGCTCTTTTCATCATATTCATGAGTGCTATATCAATGTTGCTCAAAAATTGTATGCTGTGTGATTGACCTTGTGCATGTGTGTTTGTTTGCATGTTGACGCATAAAGAGGGTCCCAATATCCTTCAATTGCAGAAGAAATTAAAAGTCTTGCCAGTGCAGATCCTGTACATCGAAAGCTTTTTGTTCGTGGCCTAGCCTGGAATACCACTTCAGAAACCTTGTGTGCTGTGAGTGCATTGCTAATTGCTGATTGTGTTTTGTGTGCCATGGTGTGATATTCTATCCCTTCCACCCCAAAATATTAAAATAAAAAAAAAAGAAAGAAGGGGATAAAAGCTTATATACCTGATCCTAATGCTAGATGGTGTCCGCCTCCAAAATAAGCTCCTTTTCTCCTTGTACCATAATTCCTATAGATTTGTGTGTGAATTCTTCTTCTACCACACTTACATGTGCTTTTGACCAGGCATTTCAAGTTCATGGTGAAATCGAAGAAGGGGCTGTGATTTATGACAAGGCAACTGGGAAGTCACGTGGATATGGTTTCATCACCTATAAACATATGGAGTCAACTCAGAATGCATTGAGTGCGCCAAGCAAATTAATTGATGTAAGCTTTACCTGCTTTTTGCTCTTTTTCCTGCAAAGCCACCATTGAGAAATGTATTAATGTTATTTATAGTCCTAAAAAATTTGTGTTAATGTTATGTGTCTCTGCATCCCATTTTACTTGTCGTTCCTTTTAATATGAGGAGGATTTTTTAAGTTTATCCATATGTTCGATCAAAAAAAATTTTCATGGGCTTTTAATCTCTAATAATGGAGTTGTAGATCTCATTTTGGGTATCGGCATATTTAGTTGGACCTCTATATTTCAGGGCCGAATGGCTGTTTGTAATCTAGCTTGCGAGGGATTGACGGGGGCAAGCACTACCCTTGATCTTGCTCAAAGAAAACTCTATATTGGAGGCTTATCACCTGATGTCACAAGTGAAGCTCTACTTTCTTTTTTTGGTAGACATGGTGAGATTGAGGAAGGTTCAGTTGCATACGACAAGGATACAAATGAATCACGGTATGTGTTGTTGATTTATTTTTGTATGTATTGTTATCGTAGTATACTCAATTGCGGTACTATTGTGGAGAATCATTGCGTTATTCCTTCCAAATGTAGTGGATTTGGCTTTGTTACGTACAAAACAGTTGAAGCTGCAAAGAAGGCCATAGATGATCCACAAAAACTACTCGGTGTAAGTGCTGATAGTCCCCGTTATATCTGCCTTTAATTTCTAGAGTCTGGAGTCTTCCAACTAATAGATTCTTGCTCAAGATACAAATTGTATGTATGCATTAAATAAGTTTCCTTTCTGTTTAATTCCAGGGTAGGAGCATCATTGTGAAACTTGCCGATACTCACAAGGGAAAACCGGTACAAACACAGTTGCCTCCATCAGCAATTGTTCCTTTACCTGTACCTTTGGCAGCTGGATATTCACAGCCTGGAAAAATACATTCCGGCACTGTCCCTGTTGGGTACACGTACCCTCAAAGCATAGCGTCATATCCTCCAGCCTTTTATCCAAGTTTTCCGGCCCCATATGCAGCACAACCTCAACTTTCTTACGCCCCAGTTGCTGCTGGAAAGGATCCTGTTGGACTCCCAGCTCCTACACCTGT